GTCATCAACCTGGCAAGGGCCACAAGCAGCTGTGCATGGCAGATTAGCTTTCTTGCACGAACATCTGCGGTTGCTACAATCTGTCTTGCAATTACATTTTATAATGTTGAGTAGCTCTTCCTGTGCATGCTTATCTCTTTTCATTATGGGATGCTGACCGTTGTTTTCGTCATTTGTCCATCCCCATTCACATGGGTTAAGGTATTCACCGTATGTTGATCTGATGGTAAGCTCTGAGGCTGTGGAAATGCGTCGCTGACTTCGTTGGTGGCAACTGTGATGGTTTTATAACCTTTGTGGAAGTAGAAACTTTTCGTTTGAATAGTTGATCTCTGAGTTCAGAAAGAGTACCTTGTTTTCCACCAAAAAGGTCCTTCATTACCATTCGCCCATATTCTTCTATTATGGCTTGATTTTGGTCTGATTTCATAAATACTTTAGCACATTCTTTGAGTACATCAGACTTCTTAAACTTCTGTATGATTGCTTTCTTGCCAACATTTAATATTCTTGAAACCGTATCACATCCAGTAAATGCATAGAGAAAGGGCAATGCTTGACAGATTTCATCAGCCAAATGCTTCTTTTAGAGTTTGCTTACCCCCTTTTTATCACTACTCAAGAAAACAGGCTTGTGCCAATCTTTCAGATGAAAGAGCAGGAGTACAAGCATGTCAGTGACTTCTCCTACTGAAGTTACAGAAGCAGTCTCAGCAATGGCCAGGGTTTTATCAACTATATTTACATCAGCATCTCCTATGCACTGTGTAACGTTACACATCTAGATTCAGAATTCATCTGATAGGTATGATATGAGTCGTTTCTTATTTGCAGTATTACTTAAGAAGACTTCCCTTTCATACTTGCATTCAGTATTAAGGCTAAAATTTACTTGGTTACCACATTTTCTTCTTTTCTCATGGGTGTTACATTTGGTTGAATCAGCTCTTCCATATTTGTGGATAGTGTATTCTGTGTAACGTTGTACTATCTTCTGAAAAGGTACTCCTTTGGGCCATAACAACTTGTGTAAAAGGTAGCCACCATCAATTACAAATTTGTCAGTCTTTGGTATGTTATTTTCAAATATGAATTTTGCTTCATTCATGTCTGATTCTTTTATCAAATCCCCTCACTCATTTTCATATACTAGGTCTTCTAACTGCTCTTTATTTGATGTCTTTGANNNTGAGGAATATGCCTTTAACGTTGACATTGCTTCTGCTATCAGTGCTTCCTTCAACTTTGGCTTATCAGCTGTCAGCATTACATGGTTTCTTACAAAGAGGGCTGGTGGATATGTAGTTAGTTCGTACACATCAGATGTATCAATATCAACAGTCTGCTGTATGATAACGAACCGCTGAAAGAGCACAGTGGGGTCAATACTTATGTCCTTGTCTACTTTTATTTTGTTTGTAGTTCCCATTGTCACTGCTTTCTGGCTTCTCTTAAACTTATGCGAAAATGCGGTTCTCTTATGCATAGCTTTAATAATATCTTTTTCAACAGACTGGTATGAGTCCACGTTGACTTTCTGACTTGCAACCTCACCAGTAACAACATTTCTGAGAAATGGATCTGCAGAAAATGGGGAGTATTCTCTTAAAACATCAAGCAGTCGAGAAACATCATCGTAATCTCTTTGCAATCGTGCTCTTCCCAATGTTTCATGTTGCACGCTTGTCACCAGATCCACACATGTGCCCTCCTGCATAGCAAGGTTAATTGCTGCTCGATGTGGCATTGATTGTGTCCAGAAATTCCGCTGTGCTTCTGTCATCCGACTGCCTCTTGTCAGCCCACCTGATGTTTTGAGAGATCTCATTAATGTTTGCTCTATGGTAAAATCGGGACTAAGTCCTGCCCAAAAAATTATTAGTGCGTTTTATTACATGGAAACCATTTTGAAATCTTTGGTAAAGCTCTGGGTGCTCATCTGGAAGTTTCAGCATCTCTTCAAGGAAGAAGTGGGATGACCTTAGATAATGGAAATTACCGCTTGAGGCTAGAATATGTCTCTTATACACATCT